CTGTTCGCCGCTCAGCTGGTTGTAGAGAACTAGATCCAGTTGTAGATCTGTGTGTATAATAATATAGAGAGATTTGGATGTAGATGTATAATGTGTGTATAAATATATGTTGATCTATATATAAATCTAGATGTAGCTCTGTTTATAGAACATATGTATAAATGTATAAATACACTGCAGGAGCAGTGTAAAGCTGCCTTATCATAATGAGAATCAGGTTGTGCGTGTGTGTGTGTGCGTGTGTTTGCATTATATGTGTGCATATCGATATAGCAGGTATGTATAAATCCAGTTGAAGTTAAACAGACTATTTGTTTATTTTTATTTTCTTTAATATTACTCCCCTGTATACAAATCCCTCTCGTTCCCAATGTAATATAGCCAGGCACCTCCCTGGGTGTTTTTAAAGCTCCTAAAAATAGTGCCAACTCCCAGCCAAAGTTAACAGAGCTGAACTTTCCATGGAAAACAGCAGTGTGCCAGACAGGGGGATTTAAACCAATTTAACGTACAGCTAATGTAAAAGACCAGTCAGCCCTGGTTCCCCCTTGCTCAGTAGCTCTGCCACCTTGTAACCAGCTGGAGCTGGCCAGAGGGATTATTTATTTATTTGTCTAGGTGCGTTGTGCTATCAGCACTGACTGGTCTCAGGAAGCTTCAGCTCCAGGGAAGTCCTGGAGGAAGACACTGGAAAGATTTTTAAACAAACAGTGAAGAGCAGCAACAGACACGACCTTGTTCTTTACCTTGATTTGTCATCTCCTCCTGCTGGCCACAGCTGTTAAAGTCCAACCACTCGCAGTTACTGTTGGGTGGGTGGATGGCACAGGGGTGCTAACCATGGCCAGTGTCTCTCTAAAACCCGAACTGACCCAGAGAGAGAGAGAGAGAGAGAGAGACAGGGCGAGATGGGGAGCGAAAGAGAGATCTGTGCTGTCTCTGAAGAATGATCCAAGATCAGTCTCCAAAGCCTACTTGCTGCCACGGTACAGTGCAGGTTTTGCATGGCCGTCACAAAATGGGCTCCCAGCTCCAACATCTGCCTGTCCCATCTATTCATAAGAGAAAGGAACATCTGTGTTATTGTTCCGCTGAATCTTGGCTCCCCTCCTCTATACTCTGTAGCTTTAAAAAATATCAGTCCTGATCCTCCACGGGTGTCAATGTGCACGGCTCCAGTGAAGACAACAGAGCTGCATCCGTTTGCATACTCTGGGGATCTGGCCCAATATTCCATGCAAGGCATGTAGTTTCTCCTGTCCAGTGAGCCACCCTGGTGACTTCTGTTTTTTCTCTAGGCAGCAATGCCTCCCAGCTAGCGTCACTAACTGAGCTCCCAGGGTTGCTCACTTCATCCCATCCATCTCGGGAAAGCATAGCCATGAGAGGCCTGTGGGCAAGAGAAAAGAAAATAAATAAGGCTTTCTCACAGACTCCGTAGACCCCTACCCCATTACATGACTACGGTAGTTTGCTCCTGCCTATGGAGTGGGCAGATGAGGCAGCCATGAGGTAAAGAGCCATGTAGCATGCTTTGTCTTAATGGAGACCTGGCATTGGAGGGTGGGATAGAAAATAGAAGGAAACAGCTGTTCCTGAACATTAGCTGTGAAGCTGGAAGGGGGTAGCTGAGGCTCCATCAACCTGAGGCAGCTTCAGCACTGGTCAAACCTACACTGGGGTAATAGTCACCCTCCTTCCCCATAGACTGGCGGGAATATGATGGGAGAGCACCAAGGCAAAGGGGACAAGCCGAAGCCTTAGATCACCTTCTCAGCCAGGTGAAGACTGTGCATCAGCATTGTGTCTGCCATGGTGAGTCCGGGTCTGCAGGCCGATGCAAAGCTTGCGGTTTCTACAGCACAGGCTGGGGTAGCACATGAGCCAACCCCTACTAGCTAGGAGGAGTTGCTCCTAGGGATGAAGTCAGACCAGATAGGCACAAGATGGGTAGTTCTGGTAGCTGAGTTTTAACACTAGAATCAATACAGCTTGTCCCTCCCTACAGCATGTTCCTTTGCACATGACAGTGCTGTTCTTGGTGGGGTGGTGCCTGTTCAGAAGACATTAGATGGCTTTGGGTGGGCCTGCCCCCCTCCACTTGCATTGCTGCTTAGCAGAGGGAGCTACTGGGAACCACTGGTACATTGCTGGTATCAGCAGGGTCAGAGGAAAGGGGGAGACAAAGCCATTGCCAGTGTCCTGTCTGAAAAGACATGAAGGAGGCAGCCAGTGAAAGCATGAGGGAGGAGATTTCAACCAGGTTCTCTTTCATGGTGAGGAACATCCAGAGGCTCTGGGCTGACTGAGATCTGCACCCCAGTCCTGGTGTGTCACAGAGGCTCCTTTGAAATCACTGGTATTGCTGGCTTCCAGAACAGCCTTTCTTGCTGTACCTCTGCATTTCTGCTCCGAGTTCTGGAACTGCAGAAGTCTCACAAGCATGTAGCAAGTTAGCAGAGAAGTGGGGCTGGTATCAGGCTATAGAGCCTTTCGCCTGCAGGTCACTGGGTCAAACCCAACCCTGGGGCCATGAGGGGAAGCTTGCACCACCCATGCACCATACCTGGTCTCTGATTAAAGACAGAACTGTCACCCCAGCACCATTCGCTGGCACTAAGCATTTCCAGGGTCAGCATGCTGTGGTGGTGGGCACTGTACAAATAGCGCCCCCACATCCCGATTTGTTCTCTATGCTGCCTTGTTCTCCAGAGTCCTGCAAGAACCAGCCCCAGAGCAGGAAGCACTCGGTCTCCAAAAGCCTGAAGCACCTTTTCCACCCTGGCAGCAAGTTCTTAAAGAGTCTGAAAAGGTAAGTGCGGGTGAAAGGGCGGGGCAACCCTGTCCTCGGGGTGTCCCTAAACCTCTGCATTCCAGAAGCTGGGACTGAATGACAGCAAATGGATCACACAGTAAATTGCCTGGTTCTGTTCACTCGAGCTGAAGCATCTGGCACTGACCACTGTCAGACAACGCAGTGCTGGGCTAGATGGACCATTGGTCTGACCTAGTAGGGCCGCTCTTATGTTCTAATGTCTGGGAGCATGTCTCCCATTGTAGACTCATACCACACTGTCATGGCGTAAAGTGGCCTGGACTTGGCTTCCTGCATGTGATAAAAACAGCAGCAAAACTTAATGAAAACCTGGGTTTCAATAGAAAAAACTGTTTCTGCTCTTGGAGGAGATGGGCTCATCCTCAGGGATGAGCCAGTCAGCAAGGGGAGCTGGCTGCTGGCTTGCCCTCAGCACCGGGGACAGTGGAGCTCTGAGGGACTGCAGAAAACACAGTCATTTAGGAAATCTCTCCCCTTGCTCTTACACACACCTTCCCTGCTTTTCTGCATCTCATAATCCCTGCTTCTGGGCTCCCGTGTGCACTGTGGGAGAAAGACACCTTTGGAAAATAACCTACCCTACCAGCAATAATGGGCTTTCCCCCAAAATCTGTCTCCTCTCTCCCCACAGGGGCCTGTATCTCACCTCCATCTTCTACAAAGACGACAACATCCTGGTGACACATGAGGATCAGATCCCTGTGGTGGAGATAGATGACACCTACTCCTGCCTACTCATGCAGGACTTCCTCTGGTTCACCAAGGTAACACATGTGGCTACTCTGTCCTGCATGCTATGGCCTTAGCACCTGTGATTGCAGGCCACCTTTCCTACGCCGCCACCATACAGGCACTGGTGAAATTAGGCCTCAGGGCAGTGCACCGTCCAGTTAAGTGCTTTGCTGCGGGATTCTTTTGACAAGATCAAGGAAAGACTCAGATTTTACCCGTCAGTGTCTGAAGCCAGCCTTGTTCCATTTCTATTGCTGAGTAGATGTAGTAGCCCCATAATGGTTTACTACTGCAGTTCTTTCACCCTCAGCTAATTGGATCCAGGTTTGTCCTATGGGCTGAGGTTTAGCTGGGCTGAGAACAGTTGCACCATGTCACTGGCAGCCTAGGCGGATGAAATTAGTGAGTGCTACTTCTGTGACTTACACCAAGGATTCAGACCACCGCACATCTGGAAGCTCCTGGGCTTCCTGATGTTTCCTCTGGGCATTTCTCTGTGATGCTACCCTCATGTACTCTACACAGCATGGCTATAGAATGCCATGGAGAGCTCATTGCAGTGAGATACTGGCAGAGCCAGCATGAATCAAGCTGTACACTAGTGCCAACCTCCAATTGGCAGCCACTGGCACCAGTTGGGGCGATGGAGCTCAGTGGCACATGCGATTTCCAAGACTGTAGCTCATCCCACTTTCTGTACTAATGGAGAAACCTCCTGGAAGATGCTTCCACACAGCCCAAGCCTGACAACATGCCTGAAGCTTTTAATGGAGAAGAAACATAACATATCCGCTTGCAGTGGCCGCATAGACCCCCCCTTTTGTGTGCCTATTGTGTGCCACTCATCTACGCTGCTGCGGATTTGTACCATCTTTCTCTGAAGGGATATTCTGCCTCTTTTTCAGCAGCCTTGTGTTTGTCTGTGTCACTGCTGCCTTTTGCTGCAGTAGCAGCGTTGAAGGACCAGCGTTGTCACTTCTGTAGGATCATGCAGAACCAGGCATACAGGATACCACTGTAGTGCAGCGTGTTCTGGAGGCAGCACTGAAGTGGTGGAAAGGGACGCTGCCAAGTAGTTCAAGCCCAGCATTTGATCTCCCATATCTTAAAATGGTTCTAATCTGCTGAGGAGCACCCTCTAGGATGTCCCAGATGTAGGTTTAAAAAGGCCTCGATTGCAAAGATGTTAAAATGCACGGACAAAATTTATGTAGGACCTACACAAATCCAGTGTTTTATTTTTGCTCTTGTACTGTGCAGCTATCCCTCGTCTCTGAGCTGTGCTGACATTACTGGGGGTTGAACAGGTCTCCTGGGTGACGGGCAAGGTATAAAATCCTAGGTGGGGGCGTGTTGTTGATGGTTCTGCTCCGTACACTGCAGGTTGCCTGCATGTGGGATGAGATCTTGTGGCTGCGTCAGTGTCTCACCGTCTCCCAGTCATCCTGCTCCTGCATCCTGCAGACGCGCTTCAAGATGCTGCTGGCCATCTCACAAATGCAGGTGAGAGGAGGTGCATGAGAAAGAAGCAGTGGGCCCAACAGCCCCGCTGTGTGGGGCATCTCTTATCGAGACAGACTCGCTGTACCAATCCAGTAATGTCAGCAGGGGGACATTCTGACCTGGGAATCCTACTGCAGTATTACATGGAAGTGATGTCATGAGACACACCCAGTCACTCCCTACCCTACTTAGAGAAACACAAGGACCTAGTGTGTGATAGACTATCTTTTGGGAGATACAAGTTGGACTAGGGCCCTACCAAATTCATGGCCATGCAATCTGGTCTCCGCTGGTGAAATCTAGTCTTTTGTGTGCTTTTACCCTATACTATACAGATTTCACCAGGGAGACCAGCATTTCTCAAATTTCAGAGTAGCAGCCGTGTTAGTCTGTATCCGCAAAAAGTACTCCTGTTCTTCATTTCTCAAATTGGGGGTTCTGACACAAAAGGGAGTTGCAGGGATGTCACAAAGTTCTTTTAGGGGGGTTGTGGTATTGCCATTCTTACTTCTGTGCTGCCTTCAGAGGTGGGTGGCTGGAGAGCGGCTGCAGCCCAGGATCCTAGCTCTGAAGGCAAAACTGCCGCCAGCAGCAATGCAGAAGTAAGGATGGCATGGTATGGTATTGCCACCCTTACTTCTGCACTGCTGCCTTCAGAGCTGGGCGGCCGGACAGTGGCAGCGGCTGACTGAGGGTCCAGCTCTGCAGGCAGCAGAACAGAAGTAAGTGTGGCAATACAATACCCTGCCATCCTTGCTTCCGCACTGCTGCTGGTGGCAGCTCTGTATTCAGAGCTGGACTCCTAGACTGCAGCCGCTGCTCTCCAGCTGCCCAGCTCTGAAGGCAGTGCCGCCGCCAGCAGCAGTGCAGAAGTAAGGGGTAGCAGTACTGCAACCCACTCTACAATAACCTTGTGGCCCCCACCCTCCCAAAACTCCTTTTTAGGTCAGAACCTCTAAAATTACAACACCGTGAAATTTCAGATTTAAATAGCTGAAATCATGAAATTTATTATTTTTAAAAGCCTACGACCATGAAATTGACCAAAATAGACCATGAATTTGGTAGGGCCCTAATGATAACCCCGGGTTTTAGACCACCACTCTTACCAGCACCCTTGACCACTATCACTTTCTTTATCCTCTCGGAGTCTGCCAGGCGAAATGCTGCAGCTGAGGGGTGTAGGGTGGTATATGAAGAGGTCCTCCGTGCATGCCCCTGGCCAAGACTGGATAGACAAAGGATGCCCTTCATAACCCACCACTCCAGCCCCCTCCCCAGACACAGAAACAGCCTCCTCTCAGGATATGGCGTGGCTAGCTTCCTGCAGAGCCAGGTCAGTGTTGCCCCATAACGAGTCTCCTATCTATGTCTCTGTCTATGAAGGGACTGCTAGGAATCCAGGACTTGGGACAGGTCTTCTTTGAGCCAATCAAAGACAAGCAGGGCAACATCTTGATAGTGACACTGAAGGAGGTGAAAACCAACCAGACTTTTGAGAGCGTCCGCTGGGTCCCCCTTTCCAAGCTGCAGACAAGCCGCAAGTCCGTCTCCTCTCCAGAAGAGCCCACCTCTCTGGATATGCTGCTGATGACAATGCAGGTGGCCATTCTCATGCCAAAGGAGGGCTTGGAGGGGGGAGAGGGATCATGGGAAGTTTTAAGAGAATAAGGCTCAGGAGCCGATCTGGGCTCTGTCTCTCCTGAGCAGTCTGTGGCGAGTCCCCTCAATGTAGTATTTAGTTCTCCGTATTCTTGTTTACCGTTTTTTATCCCAGTTGCTCCTTTTGCTTCCCTGGGCTGTTTCTTTCCCCAGCCCCTTAGCAAACCTCTGCAAAGAATTTCCCCTTCCCTGATGGCCTGGCCTTACCTTTGTCTTTGCACCCTCTGATTCTTGTACTGCAGCCTCTCTCCTTTCTCGTTCCTTCAGACATGTGTCTGTCTCAACAAGATCCCCTCAAGCACCTGTACAAGGAGCTCTTGAGGCTGCTGACACAAAGCCATTGTCAATGCCAGCTAGGATTAGCAGCTGGCAAACCTCAAAAAGTTCGGTTGCGAGGCTCTCGAATCTCAGGAGATTGCAACATGGGGCTGGCAATCTGACAACAGGCTCTTTTGTGTGGTTGCCAGTCCTTCCAGCTGTTGGGGTGCTGGTCCTGGCTGGAGACTGGAAGTGCAGATGAAATGACTGAACAGAACTCATTCAAACTGCACACGTGGTTCAGGCTGAGGCTGAGGCCTGGTTTGGTTCTTATTTTATCCAGGTCTATTCACCCCTCTCTGCCTAGGACTCCAAAAGGGCAAGTTTCTCAGAGCCATCCCTGACAGCCCCAGTCCTGCCATTGTCCGTCTGCCGCTTCTGTATAGAGGTAGAGAGGATGAGGGAGAGTCCTGCCATGTGGAATGCTTTATGTTGACCTCTTCTTTCTCCTCAGGACAAGCTGGCTTATCACCAGAGAAGCAGCCAAGCCCTCGCCCCAGGCCTCTACCTGGCCTATCTGAAGCTCTGCAGTGCAGTAGACCAAATCCGAGTGCTGGTGCCTGAACAGTTACCCAATATCCTTTGCCATGTGAAAATACGGACCAATCCCAACATCTCCAGGTGAGCATGCAGAGCAGCTGAAGTCCTGAGTTGCTTAGCTTGGCCAACCAAGATCATTTCTGAAATCCAGACCCCCAAATCCCACCTTTACTACCTGCCTGTCCCACACTATCATCCCTGCCGTTAGCTTTACATTCTGCTCCAAACCCAGTCCATTGCTGCCTGGGACATGCAAGGCACCAGCTGCTCTGTGAGCTATAATTGAACCATGACCTAGTGCTATCCCCTGTAGCAGAGATTTAAACCAGGGCCCTGTGCTCTTCCCTCTTGCTCTTTCACCAGTCCTGACTGTTATGAGGAGCTGCTGGCTACTGTTCAGATGCCTCCCCAAAGGAAGGTGAAGCTCAGGCTGCATTTCAGGGATGAATGCCATGGCTCACAGTACATACTTGCTAATGCATGCTCACTGACATGTGGCTGTGGACAGTCCTGAATGATGAGTCTCTGGTTTCTCTCTGTGATTGTCTCTCCTTCTCCAGGGAGGAGTGGGAGTGGCTACAGAACCTGGCCAATTTGGAGGAACCAAGTCCCACTGAGCCAGAGTCTGAGACTTCCCAGAACCCCTGGTATCAGGAGCTTCAAGGGGCCATTAAGGAGCTGGTGAACCTGGTCAACATCCCCCTGCGAGAGGTACTGGTAGAAATGGGAGCTGAGGGGTGTGGGCGGAATGGCTGGAGCTGTGGTCCGCACAGCCGGCTGGCTTGTGCCGTGGCAAACCAGCCACCTCAGCCTCTGGAGGCGGGATTGGCCTCTTTGTGGTTAAAGTGTTCATTGTATTTCCTCGCCCCACAAACTGAATTGAGTTTGTGGGGCTCCCTGGCTACAAGCATGTCTCTGTCCCTGCCCCAGAGACAGAGCTGGGAGCCACTCTCCGAGTTCGGTACCTCCTAAGTAACAGCCCTTGGACCTAAAACAAAACAGTTGTGTTTTGATTGGCAGTAGCACCTGGCTCTGCCTGAGATGACTTGTTTCATCTCACTGCAGTGACGGGACACCTCTTCCAGCTAACCTCTGGTGGGAGCTGGACTCACTGGGGCACAATGAGAATTGATCCCTTTCCCTCCAATGTCCAACCCAGGGTCCTGATACAGCAAGGTCCATAGGCAGGTGAGCATTCCTAATGCTTAACATTAGGTATGTGCATAAATACATTGCTGGATTGGGGCTGAGGTCACTGCAGGGATGGGTGGAGGGTCTCTCTCTCTCTCTTGGATTTTGCTTTAAGGAAGTCGACTTGTATCAGAAGCATAGAGGCTATCAGAGGAGGTGAGGTGTCCAAGCTATCCCAGAACAAAGAGGATTTGGGATGGTAATACAGCATAACAAAGCAATGGAGCCTGGCACCTGGGGAGTAAATGATGGATGCTAATTATCTCCCCATCAGTGGGGGACTCCAATGGGAGCCTTTGACATATGGGAAGTGGTGATGCTTAAAGCATGCTCAGTGTGCAAGGGAGCGCTCTGCCATCAGCCACGCTTTGAGACATTCCTGCCTAAAATCAAGAGGGGCGATGACTTTGTGCTGCTCTGGTTACACTGGCGGAAATAACGCATTGTTCCTGCTTTTCTCTTTGAATGCTGCAGGCTAAAGATTTCCGTCTGTACAGTCAGGAGGTGCTAGACTTCGGGGGACATGTCTCCTTTCTCCTGCTGCTTCCTCCATCTGATGACGTCTGCACTGCCCCAGGCCAGAATAGCCCCTACACCCCTCGCTCTGGCTTTCTCACACTGCCTCTCCAGATCTTTGAGCTAGGTGAGAACATCAGCAGAGTCAGCCCAACCATCCCTGCCTCCTGTGTCCTCTAATCTTGGATCTGACTGTGACCTGCACGGTACTGCTCCAGAACACCTCCCTCTTGCCCTTCTCCTGCCTTCCTTCCCCACGAGACCCTTCACAACCCTTTGGGCCCTGCAGTGATAGGCAGTACCTTCCCCCTGGTTAGGGGCACATTCCCCTGCCCTAACAAAGCCAGCGGGGAGGAGTTAGTCTTCCAGTGGTTTAGAGAGTCACCTCAGTGCTGAGCACCACCACAGTCAGTGCAGGAGCAATCCCACCTTAGGGAAGGCTTTTGGAGTTCCTGGAAGAGGAGCTTTTAGAGTCTGATGGGATGCAGGTCCCCCAGGGAAGGAGGATGTGCAGGAGGGGTCCTCAAAGCTTCTCAGGTGCCAGGGAGTGGGTGGGAACTCACATTGTTGTGGGTTTTGTGGTTGTCTTGCCTGTCCCTGATAACAGGAGTGCTGACCCGGTCCCCGTGGAGAGGTGGGTATCTTCTTCCATGTCGCGGTGATCCACCTTGTCCTCTCCTGTGTGGTGGAAGGGGAAAGTCTCCTGCTGTCCTTGTTAAGTGGGATTGTCCTGTAGTGTCTGCAGGAGCCAGGGGCTCCAGGGGAGAAAGCAGGACTGTGGCTCCAGAGAAGCAAGGCGCTGGGGTAGCTGCTGTAGGTACAAAGCCTGCTTTTGCCACACAGCTTGCTGATGAGGGCAGACTGAAATGGCTCAGTCTGCTGGGTCCACTCAAAGCTTACAAGAACGAGCCTTTTGCTTTTGTATGTGATGCTGCTGACTGAGGTCTTTCCAGCTGCCTGGATTGTTGACCACACTAGCTTGTTCACCCCCCAGCTCTTCAGAGAGCAGCATGATAGATGCTAGCAGAACAGTGACGGCGGCTGCTACACCCTGCCATTCATTGCATCTCTCTGGTATCCCAGCTCAGCCCCCATCATGCACTCTCTGCATTCTTCTGGGCAGCCACCAGGGGGAGAGAACAATGGCTGCCCCTCGTTACAGCTCAGATACACCTGTGAGGAGGGCCACTCCCTCCATCCCATTCCAGCCATCTCCATAGAGGATGTCACTTCCCTGAGATAATGCTAAATTCAGTACTGGGACCTGGGCTAGCACTGCACCATGGGAGCTGTTGCCGAGTTAGTGGTGGTAACAAAAGATGGGCCTTTGTCCATACTCATTCAATCCTGCTTTCCCCAACTGTGGGTTTCACCCTCAGTAATGGAGAACACTCTCCCCTCATGTAATTTTGGGCAGAATTCAGCCTTCCCATGTGTACAGTCCTGTCCTCAGAGTTCTTGATGCATCTCGCCGGGTTCAGTCTGTTCACACAGCATCAGCCATTCCCACCTCGCAGTGTCCCTCCCGCCATCACCTGACCTTCCCCTCTCACCTTTTGCTTTTCCAGTTCACTTCTTCACGTATGACCGAGAGTTCATCAGCCAGTATTGCCAGGTGTCTGCGCTCCTGGAGCTGGAGTCTCTCCTTTCCCAGCAGAGCCTCAGGGAAGCCTTCTCAGATGCTGAGCTCTCCACAGCTAAGCAGAGGCACCAGCAGGTTCAGGACTACATACAGGTATGTGACAGCAGAGGGATGTAGTGAGTGGGGCCTGCTCAGGGCTGGGCTGCCATGCCAGCATTCTGTGCACCTTGTATGGGTTGTCCAGAGGCTCCCATGTCCATCATCAGATTACCCACTTTAGGTTGGTATAGAATCATAGAATATCAGGGTTGGAAGGGACCTCAAGAGGTCATCTAGTCCAACCCCCTGCTCAAAGCAGGACCAATTCCCAACTAAATCATCCCAGCCAGGGCTTTGTCAAGCCGGGCCTTAAAAACCTCCAAGGAAGGAGA